CGTAGAGAAACACTTACCGTCAGTTCGTACAAGGCATCTACACAAACACACATACTGGACACTGTGACCATTAAAGAACTCGATGTCTTTGGTTCGCTAAATAAGCTTAATATAGTCAAATCTATGAGGTTCAATTAAATGCATCCTAGGTTACTAATGGAACTAGCTAACTTTATTGCGAACCTCCTTAGTATGTCGATTAATCTATCGGTAACCCATGGTCGAATAGCAAAAGACTAGAAGAATACCAAAAATGGTAACAAGACCAGAACAAATTACTTGTCAGCTGAATATTGACTTTCTCATCAAATAGTTGTGGACGGAATAGCAGGAGCTTTCGCTTAACAGGCTTTCGTGTCTAGTATCAGGGGATCACCCTTATCCTCCAGACAAGAACCTAGGTTGTTAGCAATAAAAGATGGAAAAGAAATTGGTAAATCATAGTATGATCCTGTCCCTGGTCCTTAAGAATAGGTTAAGTTGCCACCAGAAGGACTCCTGGGAAGTCGCTTGGACTAGCTCGGCCGGCAGCGAATTCCAGCATTTGACAACTCCTTATGAGTAGAAGTTATGGCTACATTTCGTTTTGCTATGTTGTGTCTCCACTTTCTTGGTGTTACTTCTTAGGTTAGTGTTCGAACTAAGCTTAGGTAGGTGTTTAAAAGGATGTCCAGAAGCGTTGAGAATACTATAAGCCATTAATAAATCACCTCTAAACGCCTATACTCTAATGGGTAAAGGTCTAGTGAATGGAGGCGTTCTTCGTAAGGCTTAGATTTGAGTCTTCGAACTGATTTCGTGGCTCGTCGTTGGATACGCTTCAAAGTGACCTTGTCCTTTTGGAGTGAGGTGGGGAGTACTATGTTTCCGTACTCTAAATGGGGACGGATGAAACTATTGAAGATTGTATGGAAAGTTCGTCCGTCAAACTGTTCAAAAATGCGCTTCAACGTTACCAGTGCAAGGTTTGCTCGGAAGGCATTTTTGTCACAGTTAGAGTAAGACTTCAAATCATGGGGCACCAGGACTCCTAAATCTTTTTCGACTTGGGATACTACTAGAGAGGAGTTTCCTAAGTTGTAACTGTAGTTTGCGACATGTCGCAGATGGACTACTTTACACTTTGAAGTGTTAAAGGTAAGTCTGTTGTCTACCCAACTTTGGAGTCCAGTCAGATCCTCCTGAAGTGCCTGTGTATCGTGTTGGTTGCGTATCTCTCTCCAAAGTTTCACGTCGTCGGCAAAAAGTAATAAGTCTAACGTCACCTGTTGAGGAAGATCATTTATGTAGATCAAGAAGAGAAGAGGTCTTAATACTGAGCCCTGGGGGAACCCACTAGGACATTCCATAGCCTGAGATAAAGTGAAATTAACCCTGACCTTAAAATGTCGATTTTTCAGGTATGAAGTAAGCCAATCGATTAGAGTTGGTTTAATACCTAGTCGTTTGAGCTTATTGATAAGACATAAATGGTTAACCTTATCAAAAGCTTTTGGGAAATCTGGGTAGATGATTTCAACCTTTCCCTTGCTATAGAAGATGCTTGTCCATTTGCCCACCACAGTCAGCAGATTGGTTATACAAGAATAGGCCTTCCCGAAACCATGCTGTTGGGGTGAGAAGAAATTTAAGGACAGTAGATAGTTGTTTAAACCGTCCCATATCAGGGACTCCATGAGTTTGGAAGGTAATGACAGAAGAGCCACCGGCCGATAACCTGAAGGTTCATTGCGTCGACCTCCTTTGAAAATTGATGTGATATGAGCCAACTTCCAATTTTCCAGTAGTTTACCTTGGCTTAGTGAGTGTGAGAAGATCACGCTAAGCGGCATTGCCGGGATTGGGGCTGCTTCCCTCAGTATGGCACAATGGACCATATCCGGGCCAGAAGTGTCTAGTCTTAAGTGCTGCAGTTTCCGGAACACCAAGTCAGCGCTTAGGTTCACTTCGGAAAGTCCTATGGAATTGCAGATGAAACTGTCATCAGTAAAGCCGATGTCGGTCGGTTGAAATGTTTGAGAGCAATGTGCCGCCAGAAGGTTAGCGGCGTCGCCATCGTTGTTGGTCGGGCCGTTAAGACCTAGCAGTTGAGAAACTCTAGTTTTCGCTTGACGAAGAGAGGCTGCATAACGGAATAAGCTTTTAGGATTAGAGGCAAATTCGTCCATAAGTTTTGTCTGGTACTGAAGCCTGTCTTCTCTTATAGCTTTCGTGCATATGTTCCTTATATGTTTATATTGCCTGCACTCTCCGTCGTTGTCAGTTCGTTTGTATTCCGCCCAACGGTGCCTCTTGCGGCTTAGCGGGCGAAGGGTACGGTTCTTGATTATTGTAGGTGGCTTGCAGCTTTTGGGAACCGTTTGAGAAACTGGATGGTCTGTAGCACATAAGAGCGTGTGCAGTAAGAAGTCCCAATGACCGTCCACATCGAGTTGAGGGTGAACATCCCAATCAACCTGTTGTAGACAGTCGTGTAGAGCTGGCACACTCAACCGTTTAAAATTCCAACGCAAGTTATTGGTGGGGTACCTTAGCTTAGTTTTGATGACAAAACTGAAGGCTATGACGGTGTGATCGCTTTTTCAAAGGGGAGACAGGATTGAGAGGTTGTCGACTAGGAATTCTTCGTTAGTGAATACACAGTCTAAGCGCGATGGTGTCTGACTGTTTCTCCAACGAGTTGCCGACTTTACATTTTCATATAAGCCCAAGTTGTCGATGAGGTTGAAGAACCGAGCTTCAATCGAGTTGTCGCCTCCAGTGTACGTGTGTTCCGAAAAGTTGACTCTAGGGAGATTAAAGTCCCCTAGAATCAGGATGTGTGTGAAACCGAGACGAGTACTGGTCCGAGAACTGAGATATCCAGGTTTCAGATATTCCTATCAGATGGGCCTTATTAGCGTTGCTAAGACAGTCCACAAGTGGAATGGTCAGCTCCATCTTGCCTTTGTATTTGGTCCTATCTTCGTATGGCCTATCCGGGTGCATAAGGATTCCAGGTGGCAATCGACGTCTGTTGGCACGAAGTGCTTCCAGAGTTGTAGCCGCCACGTGGGAGGATGAGAAGGTTATCTTCATTAGACGAGGTCTAGGATCACCATCCTTCTTGACTAGTCTCGTCACATGCTGAGTCAGCATGTTTTTGAGCCTCAAGGACTGTTTGATGAATTTCCATTCCCTGATGTCAGAATTTGATTGAGTAGGGTCCGTATTTTCCGGTATACCTTGGACAATTATGTTTCTTCCTCGGAAAAACTGATTGCGAGTTTCTTTAGGGGTGTTCCGTATGATATTGCGCTCAGAGTGCGGTATGTCGGGCAATACTCTTACGTTCCCATCGGGTTTCAGCAAGTGACTGGCTAGCATGGCGTCCTCTACGTCGGTAGCATTCTTAAGTGTTGCTCGAAGAAGCCTTGGGTGAGTTAGATGCTTAGAATCCTTTCCTCGAGTGAGCCATGTGACTGTCAAAGGCTCTATTCTAGGACGTTCGATCTTCTTGTTCACTTCACCCCAGAGCATCTTATCATTTTTGTCCTGCAGACTGAGAGGAAGGTCAGGATTGTCAATGAGATTCATGATTATGAAAGAATCGTCACGAGCTGTTGTTGATTTACCAGGTTCCCGATGGGTTCAGGTTTAATACCTTGTTGTTTGGAGGTCAAGGCACGTTTAAGAATCTTGGGTTCTTTGATGACCGGAAGATCATTCTTGGGGGCAGACTGTGCGACCAGATCACCATTTGACTTCCGTTAAACAGCTGGGATGTTCAACTTAGACTGTGACGCCTGGTCCTTTTTAGCTCTTTTGACATGGGTCCAATCACCTACAGAGTTTTTGGGAACCACTGTCGCGTTTAAGGACCTTGAGCTGTGAGACCCGAGTTTGCTGACGGAGTCGAGTACCGTCATCGTAATCATGGTGCTGAGTTTCAGCGTGTCATCATTAATGCTGTTGCATGCTCCGTCGTTGGTAGACCTGTCGACATCCCTGTTCTTGTTTTCAATGGGCCCTCTTGTTTGTCTACCCATTTTTGACTGTCTTTTCCCAAGTTTGCTGACAACTTACTCTTCAGACCTGTCAGTAGGACAATGATATTACTCAGCAAAACTACAGAATCGTGCTGCACGTAACACGTTCCCACTTATGATCCGACTTGCTGAGTCTGTTGTAAGCAGTTGCCGTCAGATCGATGCACGCTTCGCGGAACCAACCTTTGCAGTTGTCGCACTCCATGCCAGTTGTAACAGCGAAAAGGCATCCCGGACGTTTGCATGAGTTTTTCATGACTTTGTTGATGCAAACTATGTTATAGATGCTTGCAAAAGCCTAAACCTTTAAAAACACTAAAAAGCACACTGAAAACGGACAAAAATGGATAAAAACGAATGAGATAAACGTAACTAGTCTTTACGTGAAAAACAAAAAAACCTAATAGTGAGCTGAGGCAAACAATAGTTAACTATTAAATATGGTGTAACTCAAAAAAATAATGTACCGAACGTATAGCTCAGGATAGAACTGAAATGGCACTTTTGTTGTGTAAGAACACAGCAAAAGTTTGATAAATGCAAATCACGTTAGGACTAAACTTCCCGTTCGAAAAGCGCGCGGAATGAAATCATCACGTAGTGAATTCATCTTCTCAACACATGATTGTAGCTCCATCTGTCGACTCTTTGAAACTGATGATGTCACAGGTATTCAGTGTTTGACAACGCTTCTACCAGTAACACCTTCTAGTATATTTCGTTCCCCACCCGGAGAAATCAAAAGACAGAGTCGAGGAGACCGGAAGAGTGTATTTGGCGACCACCAATATATCGGAATTCTCTGATCTAATCTGACTAGCGATTGCGGTTGATGTTGAGCACGGCGTTACCACACGTGATCTGGTGCGGATGCATGACCGAGCGCCTTCAGCTAGATGAGTCTACTAAAACATATGATCAGCATCCAATGTCGAAAACTTAGAGCTATTTATTTTGGGGATTTATTTACCGCTACAAAACAAAGATTGAATCAACTGAGAGACCATCATTATGAGAGCCAATACAAGTCATCAAACCTCCTGTCCTTCCCAAACTGAAACCGAAACTGGAAACTGGAACTTTAGATATTCAAAACAGCCATTGTCACTAACCCCTGAAGGTCACTAAAAACGGAAAGGTGGTTAAATCGTTCGTTTTCTATTCATAGTCGTTTTGCGTGTCGTTCGTCCCGATGCTTCATGAATTTGCTGGTTGGTATAGAAGGTGGCGATTTGGTGAAGGGACACGTATTGATTTAGTTTTAATTGGCCCACCAGGTAGTGGAAAAGGGACTCAGGTAAGTCTATATTAATCTATATGTACGAGTGTGTAGGCAATCAAAATAGCTGAACGTTATAAAATCTGCCATTTATCTACTGGTATGCATCTGTGTTTCTCTGAAAATTTCTTTAGGAGATATTCTTAGAGCCATTATAGCATCAGGATCAGAACTTGGTCAAAAAGTACAGAAAATTACGGAATCAGGAGGACTTGTTTCAGATGACATAGTTTGTGACCTAATCGCACAAAAAATCAATTCTCCGGAATGTAAAAATGGACTTCTATTCGACGGGTTTCCACGCACACTAGAACAAGCCAAAAAAGTATGTTCATGAGGTTGCATATGCAAACTGCAGCTTGATAACCTTCTTAGAGATCGTCAGATTCATCTGTCGGCTGCCTTGGAGTTCAAGCTCGACCCTACCATCTTGGAAAAAAGGATTTGTGGCAGATTATTCCACTTAGCTAGTGGTAGGTCATATCATGAATTGTTCAATCCCCCGAAAGTCCCCATGGTAGATGACGTAAGTTACATTTTCTTAATAATATAAATGTCTACTTATCGAGCCTAATAGATAGTTTTTAGGTACATTGTTGTGTAAGCCTTTTGATGTTGACAACCGAGTTATTATTTTAGGCTTGATTGCACGCACTATACGTGTATTTCAATGTAATCAAATAGATAACGAACTAAATTATTCAAACTACTTTTTGTCTACCCTGGGTTCTGTGCTTCTGAATTCCTCAAGTTTTTTATTTCTCTGATTTACGTTTTTTGAGTCGTTATTTCAATCGTCAATATTTTCTATTACCATTGGTACTGATACTACTATGATTCACCCCAGCAATTTCATCCCGCTGTGCTAGTAGTGTATGGCAACCTTAGTCAATGCACATACGCACCAGGTTGTGCGTTGAAATTGACTGGTCCGAACTTTTTTTCAAGTTGTCCTCGCGAGGGTTCGTTAGCTGGTGTTATAATGTTTTTCGACTCCTAATCTTTGGGCTAATTGCAACACTGACTTAGTTTAAGGCTCTTTATTGATCTTTTTTCTCTTACTTAGAATTTCCGCCGTCATGTCTGCATTGGTCTTCATATGGTGGCAAAGTGAACGGATAGGTGAGATAATCTGACCGTTCAAAATGCATTGTGGTAATATATCACAGTCTATAAAACTTCATCTTTTTGAATTACCGAAATATTATATCTTTTGCCTTTTGTGCGTGACGAACTACCCATTCATTCTATTCTATTGTATTCTAGTGGTCATGTTTGATAGTCAGATTTCCTTTTGTAATGTTATTCGGGTGTGCTCAAGATCGTTTGTACCTAACATCATATGTTAGATGGTATTTGGGACCGCTCCTTATCTCATCCAATCCTTTTACTAAGGACTATTGTCTCCAGTCCATGTGTTAAGATTAGTAAAATTGTGGATTCTACAAGTTTTGTTTCAGTATTCCGACTTATACCATTAGCTCGCCATACTGGACTTATTTTTATTGTGGTATGTTTAGCTTTTATCAGGTTGACATTATTCGTGTCACTAGGGTGACCTTCGCTTCGAACTATCGATCCCAGGTACTTAAGAGAGTTTGCCTCCTTTATCGTGCTATCACCTATGGTGACTGGTGAGTTATTGTTTTGTGTGTTTATAATCATAGTTGACGTATTTTCGTGAGAAATTTTCTTACAAAGTTAACTAAGGAAGTTTTGTAGCAAACTCAATGCTCTTGTTTCGTTAGTTAATGTTGGGATTAGTCATATATCTGAATATGCAATATATGATATTTCTTAGCTCATGTTTTGAATTTATCAGTCATTTTTAGGCCTCTAGTGTTTTGTCCTTTGGAGGAGCTTAGGACATTTATTGTGAGACAAGATTAAAGAGTGGTTGATCATCCTTACTACCTTGCTTTACCCCTCTATAAGTAATGAAATATGAGTTAATTCCTCCTAAACGACGTTTCAATTCATCGAAAAATCCTATTATGCATTGATTTATGTTTAGCTGGGAACATGTTTTATTTAAAGTGTTTTTAATTAGTTGTTTAGATAGTGTCGAATGCTTTAACTAGATCTAAAGCTTTGGTACTAGTTCTTGGTTGGTATCCAGGTCATTTTGTACCATATATATCATTGACTCTGTTGCCACCACCGTGGATAAGTTGCTTCGTAAATTGAATCGCCTAGACGGTATATTATGATTGGTGAATTTGATTAGTTGTTCACATATGATTTTAACGAATGTTTTTCCTATGGTATCTATTAGGAATATACTGCAGTCGTTATTGAGGTCTGTTTTGGTCCAGTTTTTCGTATAGACACTGGTTACATTGTCATCTATCAAGTATCTTGGTATTTTATCTGGGTTTGACCAAAGCATGTTCATTATTCTTCATTGTTTATACTTCGGTTTTCTTCACACCATACTTATTCATTTCTATTGTTGTCCCGTTATTACCTGAAAAATTCTTATATTTTATTTGCCGTGCTCTTTTTCTAGCTTTTCATAGGTGTTTAGAGGTTCTGACCCAGCTTCTTTATAAGTTCTGCTTTCAGTTAGGCTTACTTCAATTCCATTAAAGTCCTTGGTAGTGATCGTTTGGGGGTGATATCGATCTTTTGGCTTTGTTTTACTGAGTGTCGAAGGTTCGGTTTATAAATATGATCAGTCTATCTCTGAGAATGCTATTCGTCTTGACGTAAGCGTTCTTCACGTTTAGGTATTAGGTCTTGTATGAGTTCCTTCTTAGCTTTCCCAATCTTATTGGTAACTTCACCTTTTTCTGGACGTAGTTACGTTTATTTTGATCAGAACAACATATGTAAGCGAACAATATTGTTTTCAATGAGATCCTCATCAGGCTTTATTCCATTATACAGTAATATTTATATACATATGTGAATTATTAAACCAACCAAGGCAGTTTATGAGCCAATGATAAAAGTGGAATAGATTACATAACTAGACATAATAAGTAAAAAGTTTAATAATTTCATATAATCGTATAAATATTACTGTATATTATATTAAAGCCTGGTGAGGATCTAGTTGAAAACAGTATTGTTTGTTTATATGCGTTGTTCTAATTCACAATATTGGGATTTTTAAAGTTACTTTGGTCAGTTTGATTAATTAGCCCTTTCTTTAGCTGTCTTGGTTTTTTATCTGTTTAAAAAGTCTATATACTTTCGCCATTTTCTGTTAATTGCTTAACCGGGGGGTTATTTGAAGATACCTTTTGCAACATTAAGGATATCGGTTTCTGTCTGGGCTAGGTCAGAGTGTTCTTCTAGAGCTGTCTCAGGTACTTTAATTTATGCGTCTAGTTTTGTTTACATTGTTTCTGATGCTGTATTTCGTTTTTTGTGGTATATTTGATGCTTAGAGTTATTATGATTCAGCATCTTAGCCATTGATGTTGCAGTGAACGAGAACATAGGTGGGGACAACCAAGGTATTTTAGTACAAAATTACAGAGTATCTTGGCAAAACATAAGAACCATGCACTGAATACTTCATTTGCAAATTTCCGTCATTTGTCCTTCAAATTCCGCATGATTCTACAAGTTCACAATTCATTCTCATTTTCCCTTCTATTCTCTTCAACTTGATTGTCCTAGTCTTCTGCTGCCAGGTTTTCCACGTCCGGTTGGCGTCAATACGACTTATGTCGACAAATATAAGTAACATACACCACCATAGTGGACAGCCTTGCCGGACACCACTTGAGATTGCAAAATCAGATGACAGTTCGCCATAAGCTCTGACTCAACTATTAGTGTTCGAGTAAAGAGACTCCACAATGTTTATGTACTTCTAAAGTACATCTTTCAATGACAGACTGCTACAGAACCTCTCGGTTTACAGAGTCAAATGCTGCTTTCAAATAAAAAAACTGATTATCGGACGCCTGTGTTCTAAGATCTGACAAATGGCGATTATGTGGTCGATGCAGCCACAACCAGGTCTGAAGCCAGCCAGTTCACGAGTCTTTGTAAGGTGTCCGATAATTATTGAGGCTAGTATTTTAGATGCCATATTACTCAAACTAATCCCTGTGTAGTTGTCACAGGATGATTTTGACCCGTTATATATTGGGACAACTAGTGATTGTGACCGGTTAGATGGGATTACGTCCAACTCCCAGATTTTAGCTAAAATTGGACCACCACACTTGAAGACTTCTGGAGTCGATCCTTCTGGACCAGCTGATCCCCTAGTTTCAACTTAGTTATAGCTTTCTGAACTTCAATTAGAGTCGGGGGATCTATCTCAATGTTCCATTCAGGCTGCTTGGAAATAGTGGCTAGCTTAAGACCAGCTGAACTGCTCTTTAAAGTGTTTTGCTCATCGTTCTAAACGTCTGGGAGCAGATAAGGGTGTCGTCTCCTTCTGAGATCGTCTCATTTAAACTTCACTTTTTAATTCCAGTATCTTGTACTAGTCTGAAAAGCTGTCTGGCGTTACCTAAAACTGCTGCCTTTTTCGTCTTTTTCTTTTGTTGTCTACTGCTACTCACAGCCGTTCCTTAGACTTTTGGTTAACTTAGATTTGACTTCTTTACGCTCTTCATCGTGTTCAGAGCCTGATAGAGTGAGTTTACGAGAATCTATCAGTGCAATAGACTGAGTAGAAATCCATTGGTTTTTCGTAATCCTTTGGTTCAAATCACTACTAAATGTCACTGCTGTTTCCACAGATGTATGTACATCTTTCCAAGCAACATCTGGGTCAGCCTCGTTTTCAGAACTGCCTAAGTGTTACCTCAGTTGTTCCTGGAATCTGCTCTCGGCTTCCTCGTCACTACTGAGTTAAAGTCTAATGAGTCTTCTTAATGTGGCATTCCTGCATCCAGAGAGGCGCAGGCAAATGCGTGCTCGCTATGTTAGACAATGTCTCTTCTTATGGTTAAAATTAGTATTTGTTAGAAATAAATGGTTGCCTGAACACAGTTGCAACAGACAGTCACCATTAACCGTTCTTTGAGCCAAAACAGCAAGACACCCACTTAAATGTCTTTCTGTTTGTTTTAAGCTACCTGGGTATTAAAGTCACCTGCTGTGAGTATTATGTTTGAGCGTTTAGCTTTATGAAGAAGTTCAGAAAGATTTCTGTAAAAGTCATCTTTCACTTCATCCGGGCTCCAGTCAGTAGGAGCATAGGTAGAAATGACGAGAAGGCAACGATGTGTCAATATTTTTCCGAGTTCCTACAGAGACGTTTATCCAAACAGCACATAGACAACTCTTAACGGGGATCCATTCCAATAATGCTTGTTCTGCCCTCGTACTTAGTGCTATACCTACACTCGCCCGTCCACGAGAACTAGCCATCGGGTCGCCAGGTAAACGAAGGGTGTATCTCACCGGCTCCCGGTTTTTGCGAGGTGAGGTCAAGTGTTTCGGAGACACAGCATGCATCAATGGTGCAAGACTCTAGGGTTTTAGCCAAGGAGGCTTGCTGGCTAATTTGACATAGGGTGCGTACGTTGAAGACTCCAATGTTTAGTTTGGAGCGAGGTTTGAGTAGACCCGGGACAGTGTTTCGTGCACTATAATCGTTGGCCATAGTGAAACTTGAGGAGGAAGTGTTGAGTTGAGTCGACATAGGAGGAATAATAAGAATTGAAGAGGGAGATTACAGCAATCTTGAATGCCGTCAGAGGTATGAGGGCGGTTATTACTTCCCGGTCGCTCACATCGTGGAAGGGTTTTCCTGTAGGTGCCTGATAAGGAAATAGGGTTAGTGGTGGTCTTAGTGACCTGAGAGCGCGACCGTAGTACCCAAGGGACAACTGCTTGAGGTCAGTCACACATGACCTTTTTGTGAGTAATTTTCGTGTTAGCTCTGTACTTGTTGAGGCCTTACCACCGGAGACGGATATCCATGGGATAAGACGAAGTGTGCATTTTTAGGGTCGACCTTTACTACAGGAAAGTGCATTTTTCCCCCAAGGCAATTTCTTACTCTTCATCGTATGTATTAAGGTAAAAGATCTTCATGAATCCGGATAAGATTACACAAAGGTATGCTGGACTGTTTTTTGTCAGTGTTATAAACAACTTACACTAACATTTAATTGTTAATAAAAGTATATTGGTTTTTTCGAATATGGATTTATTCATCGTTGAGTTTTGTTATTGGGCTGAACATTGGAAACTTGTTAGCACATTCAGATAAGACCAAGAAGTTAATGCTGCATAAAAATAATTCATTTTATTCTAATCTATAATTTTGATTTTTTCTTAAAATTTTCGAAACCTATTTTGATCATAGTAATCAGGATATTTTCATTGTTTTACTGGAGCAGTACACGCTTTAAGATGGAAATGAAATACTTAACAAAATATCTACTAAATTAATTACCTAATTGTGCGCCTTAGTTCTTTTTTTTTTCCTAACGATCGAAATAATTTTTGCTGTTTGATATCATTTGTAGATTACTGGTGATCGTCTCGTCCATCGCTCCGATGACAAACCTGAAGCTTTGAAAAAGCGCTTGTATGAGTATGAGAAAAATGCAACACCTATTTTACATTTCTATGAATCTCAAAATAAACTACTTCGAATAAACGCAAACAAAGATGTTAATCAGGTGTTCAGTGATATTCAGGAACTTATTCGTGTGAAATTAGCAGAGGGACGATAGGCGTATAAAATGTTCTTAGTGATCTTATTTTAGTGTTTAAATTAGAAGACTACTTCGAACAATATCTACCACTATACTTTCCTGGGTTTTTATTGATGGATAGTTTCCCTAAAAACAATAACCAAATTATGTGTAGTTTTGCTTTCCCGAGATTAATTTTGTGTATTGCATAATAAAGACCTCCAATTATCATATACCGTATTTTCAATCAAATTTTTAGGTTTTCGTCCGCTTCAACCCTTTACATTATTAGTTCAAAAAGAATTAAACGTTCTGCTTTCTCGGGACGTTACGTTTGTAATTACTTTACTCATTTCTTGAGGTTTATGATAGTTCCTAGTAATTATAAGTAAAGTTCTCCATATTGCATAAAATAATTCTTTATTGCTATTATGTTTGTAGTTACTGATCTTGAAAGTATCATCAGCCTTGGTGAGATTTAATATCACTTCGTACCTTTTGTTTCTCGAGAGTTGCTATTTATCGTGTACTGATATAGTATGGAAACCTAGATTGAAACATTTGTGGCAAGGCCCTGTGTTGATTATATCCGACTGTGTTATAATTTATTTGTATTAATTATTTGAGTCTTCCCGTACATCTTCAGGACTGAAATTGATCAGTCTTTTTTGGTATATGTGCATCCTGTGCGGATTGCCTCGATATTCCTATCAAGTCACAAGCGCTGATTTTCCCATTTTTAACCAATCAACTCTAGTGGATGGGCTGAAAAGACTCGAATATTCTTGTGTTAAGTTTATTTACACACTGAGGTTTGGTTACTTAACTGAACTTGCTGTTTTGCTTTAGAACAAATTTATGCTCTGTCCACGTTTTGTTTTGATTTGGGGGCCAGTCAAGTGGAGTTTCCGAGAATATTAGGCCGAAAGAGGAGGCCTAACAGTTGTCTACGTATAAAATGTCGGTATTAAGAAATGTGAGAGCTGGAGATATACGATTTGAAATGACATTTTATGTAGTAAAAATTTTGTGACAGTAAATTATACAGTGTAAACACCTAGTCATGGGATTTAAATACGTTTCTTACGATATTTTGTGTCAGTGACAATCATTCAGTTTAAGTATTCTAATTTTTTTTATTGGAATATAATCAACAAAATTTATTCCTATTGATTACACGGGGTCGACATCAAATAGCTTCATCTGCAAAAACTAGTGTTCTCATTCTAATTGCCGGGGAAAGGAAGAAAGATAAAATAGTTTCGTTCATTGTATTAAAGTCAAATTAGAACGAAATTATTAGCACGGTGCACAAACTTATAAGTGAGTTACCCTAAGCAAGGCTACTACTTTGATTGGTGGCTCGTTTATTGTGACCACCCAGTCGAGGTACAGTGTTTGGGATCTTAGTTCCTTAGTGTTCTACCATACTAGGCTGTAGGTAGCAATAAGGCTTTAAAAAAATCTGAGGGTGAAAGTAATACCATCTGGTCTGCGATTTAATGGGAGTAAAGTTTCCCATGGAATCCCGCCTTGTCACAACAAAACGAAGGGTTTTATTCGAAAAATAGCGCACCTCGTCTCACGGACTCCCATCGCTAGCGATAAGAAACGTACAAATCTAATTCAGTCAGAACTACTAACAAGATGATCTTGTGTGACCGGTCTCAAGCAGTCCCTTTGGCCTAGTGTTAACACTCAATGACCATCAAGACTACGAATAACCCAGTTCAATTTTCTGATAACCCACAAAGAAATATCCTTCCACAGTGTGATAAACCCTTTGTGGCCCTCTGATCTACCTCCAGTTCGATCGAACAAAATGAATATGCCATGTATATAAACGTTCCATCCTAATTCAATATATTACTCCTGGGCTAACCCTGTTTGTGAAACGGCGGTAAGAAGTTAAATACGTGTTAAGTTGGATGAATTTATTTCAAACAGATATTAAAAATGAGAAACGCAGAGAAGGTAAGTCTGACGATTCTCTTTGACCAAGTGTGAATCAATATTTATAGCCAGAAAAAAAAGCTAAAGATGTGATGAACAGGGTAAGCAATACACACATACTCTCATACAAAAAACAGTAAAGTTTAATAAGCGAATAATCGACAAGGTCAAAATGCAACTCAAGAAGAAGAAATAAATTGATCTCTCCAGAAGCTAAAATAATCCATGTAAGCTTGAAATAGTACTAAACATTACAAACCTTTGACGGAACTCGAGTAATCAATACTCTGCATTACCTTCTCCAATGTTAGTTCCGAGCGAAAGTTCTAATCTCGACTAATTTTGATGTTTTCTGAACTCAAGCTCGAGAGAACGATTTTATTCTTTAAAAATGTTCGATACATACAACAAAATTATGCATCGGAAAATATACCATAAGATATGTTTATAGTCAAGGTGTTATATCGAGTCGTTGCCAATTGTTATGACTGGTGGTCATCTGTTATAACTGCGTCACCAATTGTTATGTCGGAATCGCCTATCACTTATACTTGTAAATCACGGAGCCATTGCGATTCCCACGACTCGGAAGAAAGAACACAAAGACTAGTACAAATAAAGACATTAACCCCAAAACACGACAACGATGGCCCTAGTCGAAAATACACTCATAGATTGGTTGCAAACCTATTTTGATTGTTAATTAGGATGAAATTACATATATAAAAAATACAGTTATCCTGAGTGTCATGCTGAGCACAATTCATGTTGATTTAACACAAGAATATCGTATATTGAACAAAAATTACAATGAGTAAAAGAACGTAATTTCACTTTTTAATTCCAACATTTCACCAGGCCAATTTATTATTTTAGTCATGTTGACTCGTACTTTTTGTCTACTTAGTTGTATATTTAATCTAAAATGTAATAGTACAAGCTATCTAACGACATGTCGTACATTATGTTCTCAACCTGTTAAACGTTACTTTAGAGATCTGAACAAATTACAGCTCTACCTTTTAAAAAATGTAAATTATTTTAATAGTTAAATTACAGTAGGTCGATATCCTAAACACTCAAGATCGTATCTTCTGGGAATCGGTATATAAGTGTAATCATCAATAAGTGATTAGACTACAGTTACTTCCACCTTTCAAAAATCGTCTTTTGGGCTTGTATTTCCCATTGTTGATACTTATGTACGTAGACATAAGTAGTATAGACCACAAGTGTATATAGTTGGAATTTTTTATGACCATCATATGCGATAGAAGTCGTTAGTTTTGTGTATAAAGTTACTTTGATATATGGAATATTTCAAATGATATTTTATGAAGCTGTTGGATAATAATAATCTGCAGATTGTTGAATGTGTTGTATCTAATCATCTATTGGCTGTAAACTGTGTTGATATGACGCGTTTTACAAGTCAGATCTCTGATGCCACCGTTCTTTCCCTCTTCCTGTACTAAATGTTCATTTTATTGTAATTTTTAGCTTGGTTGACGTATATTGTCGTGATGGAGGTAATATTGGGGGAAGTGCAACGCTTGTGTCTAGTTTATAGATTATATTTTGTATAATTAACAAACAACTGTATAATCGTACTTCTATGTTTTCCTTGTTGTAAGCTTCCAGTAAATCTATTAACTATTGTTGTATGATTTATTATTCCTCAATTATGTACTGTTTGCTACATTCTCTGCCACTTATAGCACATCTGAGGTGCGTTGCGGTCCGATAACTGAAGTATATAGACTAATGTGTGTTTGAGGTGGATGTAATGGATGCCTAAAATATGTAACGGAAGCTTGGCTGATGTCTTCTTTTATTCAGGGTCTAGGTTGGGAATCAACGGACCAATATGGGTCAAGCGAACATTACCCTCAGCCCATAGATAACTGTGTTGGCCGGCACATATCACTAGTCAAGGCTTGGGACGCTAGACATATAGGGAAAAATACAAGCGGATTGATGAAATTATAACCGGAATTTCGATTAGCGAATCTAGTAAGTGATATTTATTAACGTCTCAAATATAACAAATGCTATTCTAGTGAACTAATAAGATTTGATTTAGTGACTCTTGGATTTGTGCACAAGATTTAAACTCAGTGGGAGGTAGCTTGTATCGTATTAGGAGATAAGTAGAAATTACCTAGATATTGTTCCTAATACGATTAAAACTGGTAGACGCTTCTAAAGTTCAATCACACATGGAATGTAACATAGCATGTTAGTTAGAATAAAAACATACTCCTGTAGTAATCGTAACTCAAAGTTTATTTACTCGTTTAGTTTATTTGATGTGATTCAAAGAGTAGCTAGAGTTGTTTAAGTGGCCGAAAAGTATTCTTCACCATAACCTCAACTCTAAATCCTAACCGTACCACAGTTACTGGTTCCTAACCCTAATTTTTTCTCATTTATGATGATAAATAGCTGAACATGTGAGTGGCTGATGAGTAGCCTAAGGTCGTCAGTATAGTATGCTTTTATTCTTAATTTCTATCGTATTTAATCCACCGTGCGATTGGTTACCTTCCACTTCTTAAAAATGACCTGGACTTCATGAAATTTATTTCAGGCTAGAATGTGCATTATTTTCTGACTGTACGAAACTCTTGCTCTACTTACTGACTTCGCCTATTATTGTCATCGTTGTAATGTCTGGATAACTTTAGATTCGGAGAATTTTCTAGTAGGAAGCGCCGATATTGAAGGCATCTAAATGATCACCCAATATACACTTATTTTTTAGTATCGTAATTGAAATATTTGGATTCATTAGAATAAATGTCGAATTGGTGTATTCATGTTCTAAACATCAGCGCGTCAATTAATTTTTCTTAGATATCACCAACTGTAAATAACCCAGATCTTGTTTTAATTAACGTATATCATTAAATAAATTGGTTCAGGTATTTAATATACTGAATAGGTTGTTAGTAAGTAATTTAGTGTGTGTTAGTTGAACTTTCACAAGTAGGTATTTACATCTGTTTTCTGATATTTTAGTCGTTTACAATAGTTCATGTTCAAAACAATTCATAAACGTTATAAATTTCGATGGTGTAATAAGGCGTAGGTGATTCGAAAAAATTTGATGCATCCGCTAGATACATTTCTAATATTCCGATCACACATAATTATCGAGGCGTTTATGTATGAAAACTAATAAATGTCAATTAAATAAAAGTTCAATTAATATCTACTATTTCACTGAAGACAATGGTGGATGGTGTCTCAATCCCGTGGATTGGTTGAAATTAGGAATTAACACTGTTGGATACCGGCTCAGTGGTCTAGAGGTTAAGCGTTTGCACGCAAGACCGATAGGTTGTGGGTTCGAGTCTCACGGGGAGGGGTCATGGATGCGCACTCCTGAGGAGTCCTGCACTAGGACGAAACGGCCATCCAATGCTTCCAGATTTCCCATGGTGGTCTAGCTTCAATCGACTCATGAATTGAATCATAAAATTTTTAAGCGATT